ATGACATTATACCATTCTTTATTATTATTTATTTTTTTTTTTGTAATATTCACTGTTAGCTCTGAAAGATACTTGATAAAAAATAATAATAATTCTTTCTACAATTGTGTTTATTCACTAATGAATCAGATTCAAGATTTAAAATATCATTTCTGTGTTTATGATTTCTATTGTAATTCCAATTCCAAATTTTATGCATTAAGAATGGGGAATATAAATATCTTAGAAAAATGACATTCAAATTATTATATACAAGTAGAGGTCCACCACTGAATTATGTCCACAAATAAATGCTATTTCTGGTTATTGAAGTATTTCTTGAGCTGGGATATTTTATGAAACACAAAGGTGCAATTGTACCAAATCCTGATAAGAACAGTCCTCACTTATGCCTCTGAATGCTAGACATTACCTAGTATACTGGAGGTATGAGAGGAAAATATTGAGGAGAATTTATGGCACAGTTTGCGCCAGTGGAACCTGGAGAATACTAAATTTGTCCAAATTTGTTAGTTATAACCTTCTCAAACCATGGCCACGAATTGCCAATGAAATCTACGTAGAATGCAAATATATGGATGAATGGAAGATATAATTGGTTGAATGGAAATTTCTGGAAAAAAGCTGAGGATGATGAAGATGGACAGGAACTAGAAGATTAATTTTACTAAGCTACCCTCCTTAGAAGAATTGATATTTCCATTAATTAATTTAAAGAGGAAAATAACATCTTAATTGATGTTCTATATGCTTTAGAATCAAGATTTATAGTAATATTCATATTTTAAAAATGTTTGTAATATCGATGAAAATATTTACTATCGATATTTGAAGTCTGATATTTTGCTGGTATTGGTAGTTATTGGCCGATGTTGGACTGAGAGAAAACAAACACAATTGATTTGAAGATATTGAAAATATTGATCCAGCCAGTGATCGATATTTCATTCAGGGTTCATAGGAGAACCTTCCTGTAAAATTAAGCTGGATCTAAGCCTTAAAAATATGATCTGACCTTAAGGGGGTGGTGAGGATGAGTTTTCCTTAAAAGACTTTTTGACCAACCTGGAAGCCATAACAGTTCGCAGTGAGTGGACACACGAGGATTGGAAACTAATTTCTTTCTTAAACTAATGTAGAAATATGCAAATACATCTCTCCTCAACCTGAATTGAGGGTCCTCCTGTACTTATTGAATGATACAAAACTGTTCTTAGGAAGCATATTGGGAATCGCCAACATTGACCCCCCCGAAACTATTAGAACAAAATTATGTTCTACTAGAGTATGTGGAAAGATGCCAGAGATTGGAAGAACATATGATTGTGCAAGGGAGGGATGATGAACTTGTGTGAAATCACAATCAGATTGATAGCTTAGTTTTTGTGGTGTTCATTAACGGTTTGAAGAGCAAAGCTACTTCACAACTCTATTATAGTTCCCAAAGATCATAGCTTCCCAGGAAACAGTCACTAAGGAAGCTCATGTAGAACTAAACCTTAGTAAGATACAGTGGCGAGAGCTGTCCAGTCTGGAAGCGGAAGAACAACAAGAGGTTGATTGTGAATCCCTGAATTAGAGCTCCACGAGAAAGATATTTCTGCTGAGACTACGTAAGATATTTTCCCAGATAATGCCCTCGGAGGCAACAGTTAAATGTCGGAGTGAGTAATAATAAATCTGGGTACTTGTGAGCGACACAGCCTCTATGAACTGCTATCTGCGGTTGTCTTGTTATTTAAAGTTTTGTTGTTGTTGTTATTTATATTTCTTATTATTAAATGTTTATAACCTGAACACTGATAATTGTTATAAGGCACTGATAATCCCTATCTTCATAGATTCTCTTATAATAAGAAATATACATATATTTGGTGTTGCCTCTTTTTTGCCTGTTTCTTATTAATATATAAATAACAAGATAACTGCAGATAGCAGTCCATAGAGCCAGCGTCGCTCACAAGTACCTAAATCTGAAATAGTTGATATGATATAATCCAATCCTGCCTGTGTCCTGAAATCAAGTTCTGTTTTTTGTGTGGTTATCCCACAGCTGCACCAGTGTACAAGAATAAATAGTCAGGGTGAAAAGTATTCACATGCCATTTTTAACACAAATAAGATATACAAAATATATTATTATTTGGAGAGATTAATTTAAAATAATAAATCCATTTAATATTAACACTTTAATAAATAAAAAATATTTTTGATCATTTAAACTTTGTGATGTTATCGTATAAATAAATTATTCAAAATGATCAATAAATAACTTGAGTCTAAAGTATTAAAAAACTTTATTATTACAATTCGAAATTCACTCTTTCAGTACACAGGATTTTTTTCATGGCTCAGTAATGATACTCTTTAAATTATGGAAATGAGAAACAATATGTTTTATGATATGATTATTCAAATATTTTAAATCAAAAAATCTACAAAGAAAAATTATATTTAGAAAAAAAGCCTGGAAGCAATAAAAATAACAGAAAATTTGAAAATGGCAATATATTTTAAATCAGATTCAGAAAAAATAAACCAGAATTATGCAGAACTATCAAAAAAGTTAAATAAGTTCCTAAAACCGAATAAACAAAATAAAACTCAGTAGATGGCACCTTGATATTTCTAGTTGAAGTTTGCAGCCTGTTAGGGATAGGAGCTAATTCATGAAGATAAATAAAATTCTAGATGAAAATGAGGTAAACAAAATTTCTAATTTTTGTCGTTTTTGTTATTTTGACATGCCTTTCTGTGATAGAATAAATTTTACCCACAAAAAAATGTTAATAAAATACTATTTTTATAAAAATTGTATAAAAAATTTTTAAATTGTTGATAATTTTCATATTTACAGGAACTGTTTTTTAATAAAATGAGGAAAAAGGAAAGCTTAAGATATTGTCAATAAAGAAAGAATAAAAAAACACAATTTTATAATTTCAAGTTAACAAGAACTATCATATCATTTAAATGTTTGAAAATGGCTAGTTAAGCAGAAACGTTATATAATGGAATTTCTTATTGGAACGATTTTTCAATAATGAAATAAAGATTGTGGGTTTTTTTTTTTTGTAAATAACATTATTCGTATATTGGTTAAACATAGTAATTAAATGGATCCCATCCCCACATATATTATTACAGTATGGCTTAAAATCGGTTTTGTACCAAATATAAGCTCCTGTCATACTCCAATACCATGAATGGGGTACCGTTTGATTCAGAATTTTACGGGGGGTTAGCGAATTGTATTCTCCACTTTTGTTTTCTTTCTAAAATAAATAAAGTCGATACAGACATTTTGCTAGGCTTCAATACTGGAATGGTGGTAGGTCTGTAGATCGAAACGGGACCAATTAGACCTTGAATATTTTGATGCGTACAGCAAGACACGGATAGTTCCTTCGGAACTATCGGATCCTGGGTTTTTAAGCCTAAAAGCGTACTATTTTCAAGATAACACATGGCATAGGGTTCGCATCCACACAAGCTTACGTTAATTGTAGTACTGTCATTGAATACATGTCTCATTTCATCAACTCTATGAGGCCTCTATGATCAAGAGAGAAGTTTATATTATTTATCAATGGTGTTTTTGATCGGCAAGCCATATCATCGTTAATTCTTCACCAAATCCCAAGATTGAGCCACCAATTTCGAAGGCTTCCTTCTCCTTCAGGCGGGCAAAATATTCCAATCACCCCGAAAATTCAGGCAAAAAAGTTATGATAGAAAACAAACTTTATTTGTGAATAATTAAAAAGTACACATTTTTTTCCACAAAAGGAAAAAATATCGAAATCGGACAATTTTTAGCAAAGAAACAGCTTATTGAATTTTGTAAACATGTTGGTTCCAAACATTAATGAAGATTTAAATAAATATTTGTTTCCTATGTCGATTATATTTATCGAAAAAGTAATAATGGATGTCTTTAGCTTTTGATGCGTTACATTTTTTTTATTTTCTTATTAATTTGGCATTTGATAACAATGTGCTGTGCTAATTTTTCGCACGGGCCTACTGGTAAAATAATAAATAGCCAAAACAAGGTTGTTTATCCATATTTTTGTTTTTTTTATTTGTTTTAAAACCGGTATTAGAATACTTTTCTTCTGGTCTATTTATTCCTTTACACTGGTGGCAGGTTTGGGGTAACCATAAAGAAAACAGAATTTTGATTTGAGGACACAGGCTAGATTTGATTCTATTGTAGCATCTCAACCTTCATTTATTATTACCCACTATTCGCATTTTTCTCTTGCCTTCGAGAGCATTGTATATGGTATGTTTATATCTGTTAAAAAAATTATAGTTATACATACAAGTTATACAAATGTTACTTTGGTCCCAATTAAAATATTTGCCTTTAATTCTATTATAAAATTACAATTACATGTACTAATTGTCTGAGACCAAGGAATCAATACTGATAAAAGGTGGGATTTAATTACATTCTACTTCTTTTTCTTCTTCTACAACAAAGTGTTTCCCTTCGAATGGCCCAAGTACAACTAACAGCCTCCCCATTCTTGATGCCTCCCTCTTCCCCACCACTTGATGCTCAACTCCTTATAATTTAAACATCAAAATTATAAATTTTGATTATTTATAATTATAAATTCTCCACTCCTTGCATGGTATTTAAAATAAAATTTAAAAGAACCTTTATGGATAGAAATAAGGAATTATAAAAGAAGATAGTTCAAACAAAAGAGGATTTGCTAAAGTAAGTAGTTCTATGAATGAGAGTAATGAAATCTTAAGGCTGGGCTAGAAGATCAAGAATATAAGGAGATTTTTGGTCTCTAATGATCGAAATTAAAAAAAATTTAAATGAAGTTTTGTTGTAATAAATCAAAATAAATTTTCCTTAACATGTTTTCTATATCTTATTTAAAACAATATTCATCACTTTTTAAAATTAGTACACTGATGAAAATTGAAGTTTTATAATTTATTATTTTTTAAAAGTTATTGTTTTATTTTATTTTTAGGGATTTCCAATCCTTGAGGAAGTCAGAAACTAAACTGAAGGCTGATTACAGTAAACTTTTTTCCATCTACAAAGCTCTGGAAAAAAGTAACACTTCTCTTATCGAAAAATCTTCCATTCAAGAAAGAATAATAGAGTAAGTATGATTCACTATTGCTGCCAATTGTCATATTTTTTGTGTGATTGCTTTTGTAATTTGTAATTTACTTTACCTCATATATCCTATTGGTCTATTTATTGTTCAGGTATTTACCTATCATTTTTTTTGCATTTTTAAAACTTTATTTCTCATCCAGTGCTGCAATTTTATATGCCCATATCAATTGCTGCAGAGGTTTAGTCTCATCTTTGTGACTAAATATCACACAGTTCTTTGCTGAACTTTTTTGGTTCTATAGTCAGGATAAATATGTTGAGAGAACTTTTATTTTGGAAAAATTTTACATAATCATTTTTCTTATGTATAATTTGTAAATTCTTAGTTTCCGATTTCTAGAAAGTAGGACTGGGTAGTTCATTATATAGCTGGAAAATAACCTGGGCGTTTAACTTATTCTTTATTCAGTCTATAAATGTATCTATCTTATTTGAGGTAGATCTCAGAAACTAATATCTCTCTATATATTAATAAAAATCTGCCAAGTAGGTCAGTATAAGTTCCTCTTGTGCATAAGAAAAATTTGAATGTTTTAGTAAAAACTTTTTTTTTTTTTTTTTTTATTAACGAAATTTACAACTGTAATTAATAATAATACAACAAGTAAATATGAACAAGTAATATGACATGTACAACATGAGGAGAAACTACCCATTGGTAGCACTCCAATTATATTTCTATATTAGAAGGTCCCGAGGCCATCTTCTTTTTAGATGCCTCGGAGGGTTATCAGGAATAGAAGAGGAAGCAAGGTTGGAAACGAGAGTGTTCGGATGGTTCAGAAGTTTATTATGAAAGGACAGGTATCTAGATTGAGCTAAATCGGAAACATATGGTACATTAAGGTCATTATGGATGATTTTATTTGTGACAAAGTGGGGAGCATTAAGGATTTTATGAAGGATTTTGGATTGTAGGGATTGGATACGAGAGGAATTGATGGTTTAGTAGAGCCCCAAAGCTCGATCCCGTAAGTCCAAATAGGCCTTATTATAGTAATATATAGAGTCTTTTGTAAATAGTTGGCAGTTTAGAGCGTTTGTCTAGTAAGTGCTGGAGTAGTCGGAAACGTCGGGCGGTTTCTAGTCGTTTCAGTCTGGTATGGGGGGATAAGTGGGGTATTGTTAAAGGATACTGTAGGACAGGAAGTCATAGGTTTACGACGAAGAGTAAAGGTAATTTGATGGGATTTATTGGAGTTTATTTTAATCCTACAGTTTTGACACCATTTTTCAAGACTTGTGATGTGTGATTGAAGAGTTTGGGATGCAATAGATGGATCGTTATTGACTGATAGGATACATGTGTCATCGGCATATGTGGTGATGACAGTGTTGGAATGGGTTGGGATGTCAGCTGTATAAACTGTATAAAGGATAGGACCTAGGATACTACCTTGAGGAACACCAGCAAACTGAGAAAAAAGAGATGAAAAAGCATTGTTATGATTGACTTTGAAGAATCTGTCAGTAAGGTAGGAACAGATAATAAGGAAGTATGTAGGTGGTAGGAATTTACGGAGTTTGTACATCAGTCCGGGATGCCAGACTCTATCAAACGCCTGTTCAACGTCGAGAAAGACTCCCGTGCAGTACATTCCGAGCTCCAATGCAGAGGAGACTACATCTACCACAGGGTGGCATTGCTGTATAGTGGAGTGGGATGTGCGGAATCCAAATTGGTGATCTGGGATAATTTGTTTAGAGTCTAGGATAGGATACAGGCGTTTTAAGATGAGTTTTTCCAGGATTTTGCCCATAATGGGTAAGAGAGAAATAGGACGGTAAGAGGATGGGTGTTCTGGCGGCTTCGTGGGTTTAGGTATCATTTTGACAATGGATAGTTTCCAAGGGTCAGGGAAATATGTGGTTCTAAGTACAGCGTTATATATATAGGTGAGGAATAGTATGGCTTTTTTAGGAAGCAGTTTTAGGATCTGGGATGTGATTAGGTCATGGCCAGGAGCTTTGCGGGAAGGTAATCTATGAATGATATTGGATATTTCTGAAGGATGGAATGCTTTAGGTGGAGGTGTCAGTTGGAGTGGGATATCCAATTCTGCTTCAATAAACTCAAGGTGGGGAGGATTAAGGATATCTGGGTGTGGATTAAATGTTTTGAAGAGGTGCTGAGCAAATATATGTGATTTTTCTTTGTCAGATCTGGACCAGGTTTGGGTTTCAGTAATAAGTGGGTGGTTAAAATCTTTAAATTTAAGGAGCTTTTTAGTGGTCAACCATAATGATTTGTCAGTAGTAGTAAGTTTTTCTGTCATGTTAAGTAAATTTTGAATTTTGTATTTTTTAATTTCAGCTTTTAGTTGGTTAGTTAATTTGTTGTAATATGTCTTATCTGATGGGTATCTGGTCCTGTGCCACTTCGATCTTGCTCTGCGTTTTTCCCTTAATAAGATACGAATATGCTGTGGCAAGTTTGTCTGTTGGGAGTTGTTAATTTTATTGATAGAAGTATTATCATTTATTTTGTCACTTATAGATGTAGTAAGTACTTCTATTTCTGTGTCAATGTCATGTTTCGTCTTAAGTGGAGTATTTAGGTCCAATTTATTTTCCAGGTCTTTCCGAAATTTGTCCCAGTTTACTCGTCCTGTAATCAGTGTAAGAGGGGACGTGGACTTAGGAGCGAAGGTTGGGTGTAATGAAAGCAGAGCTGGAGAATGATCTGAGGAGAGGTCATCCAGGGATTTGACTGTGACATGGGAAGAGGAAATCTGGGAGGTGACAAATAAGTCCAGGATATCAGGGCGTTTTTTGAGGGAAGTTGGCCAATAGGTAGGATTCATAGGAGAAAGGACAGAGTAACTATTGGAAGTTGAGAGAGAAGATAGTATGTTACCACTGGAGTTGGATGCTCGACAACCCCATCGTTGGTGTTTAGCGTTATAGTCTCCTCCTGCAATAAAGCGCGATCCGAAGGATTGAAATAAGGATTCAAGTAAGTTGTAGGTAAGAGTATGACCAGGAGGACAGTATACAGCTGAGAGTGTTAAATGGAAAGGACGGGTTGAAATGATTACTGAAGTTGCTTGAATAGCCTCAGTTGGAGTAGAAGGAATGAAAGAATGGATAAGGATTTATGGATAAGGATGCAAGAACCGGCATGGGAAGTGTTGTCGGGGTGGTCAGATCTATAAGTGATGTAGTCACGTATGTAGAAATATGAACGTTGTGTGAAGTGAGTTTCTGTCAGTAGAGCAATATCAATGTGGTAGTCATGAAGAAAAATGTCAAGTTCGTCTGGTGGTTGTGTAGTCCATTAGCATTCCATAAAAGAACAGCTAGGGGCTTTGTACTGATCGTGAGAGATTAAAGGGAATTTCGGTAAGGATTCTTGTGAGGAGAGTAATAAGAGATTTTATAGTATTTTGGAGGTCCAATAGGAAGGATGAAAGAATGGCAGTTATATCAGATGGATGTTGGTTGTGAAGTGAGTTTAGGGTAGGTTCTTGTGGCGGGTTAGAAGTGTTAATTAAGGGCGGCATCCGTCGTTGTATACGAGGAGGGTCTGGAATCAAAGGTGCTTGTGCGGTTTTTGTTTTCTGAACATTAGGTTGAGGTAGCTGAGGGTACTGTGGCGGTAATTTTACTCGTAGGGGTAGATGATGAGGGGGAATTTGCTGACGGGGAGGATGAGATTGAGGATTGGGAGGTCCGAGGCGCCTGACTTCGAGGTTCCTGCTTCTTGATAGTGGTTTGTGTGTAAGTTTTGCTGGAGTCCTGACGAAGATGATAGAAGTCAGTTGAAGTAGACGCTTCCTGTTGTGTGACATGAGTAGTTTTTGTCGGCAATTCTGGAAAATTTGAAATATTTCCAATTTCTGGTGGGTCGGTGTAATTTTGTTGATTATGTTGAATGCTTTTTAAGGCCATGTTCCGAGATCGTAGCTTATAGTGATTTTTGTAGTCTATGCATCCCTTATAGCTTTCCGGGTGGTCTTCGCCGCAGAGAGCTCATTTAGGAGGCTGGTCTAGAGGTTTCTGACATGTGTTAGATGCGTGTAAGCCGGCACATCTTACGCACCTGGCCTGATGATGGCAATAGGTCTTTGTGTGCCCGAATTCTTGACACTTAGTGCATTGCACTAATACTGGTTTGTGCCTAGGCTCTTCAAATTTAACTGTTGAATATATAAGCCGGTTAACTTGAAATATCTCAGGGTTATTATTAGCAGGCTCTAAATCAATGAAGAATAAAGGTAATGGATATTTCTGTGTTGGATGTAATATGCATGAAATATGCCTAACGTTGTGACCTATTTCTTCCAGGCCAGACTTGATAACGGATATAGGGATGGTTGAGTGTAGGCCTCTCAAGACCACTCGGTATGCCTTTTCTTGTCTCAACTGATAACAGTGAAAATCGTAGTTTTTAGATGTGAAGTAGTCAATTAGTGTTTTATAATTAACTCTTGAATTTGTGTTAATTTTTATGTCGTTTACTCGGGAATAACAGCGAAAATTGGTCTGTCCTATCAGATCGGCAATTTCTTGACCAAATGTTATGAAATTTTCAATTTTGGAAACAAAAATAGGTGGCGGCTCGGGGTCAGTAGGAGCTTGAGGCTCCGAAGGTTTGATTGGTGAGTTACTAACAGGAACAGCATTATTGCTGGCTGAAGTAGTTGGTGCAGTTGGCGCTGGTTTTGTGGTATTTGTTTTGCTTCTAGTTTTGGGTGGTGATTTATTTTGCTCGGCTGACAATTTAGATTTTGTCGATTTATTTTTTTTCTAGTTGGGTGAATTGCCCGCTGACCCGGGGGCAGAGTTTCTGTGACGTTTTTGAAGTGAGCGTCTTTTCAGATATTGCGAATCAGTTTCGCTAACTTCCGAAAATGGTGTCTCGTCATCTGAATCTTCACATGAAGAGTTCTTGTCCAAATTCATATTTTCCATGATAAGAACAAGAAGAAGAAAAAATATATATATATACCTTACCTAAATTAGAATTACAAAAATAAA